AGATTTTATCTCATCCCAAAGTGAAGTGGCCACACTTTCGGCATATGCGACGAGGTGCAGACCCTCTTGGCCAGGTAGGCCTTGTAATTTTTGAACATGCTGTTTCAACTTGATGTAAGGCTCCAATGAAGCTTTGGGGTTCTGGGGCAGAAAGGATCTCGCATCTGCTCGAAATCCTTCGGCGTCTTGTAAGAGAACAAGGTAACTCTGGGCGCGCTCAACGGCCTTGATCTTGTTCATGGGCGACTTGAGCCGTTCGATGGCCTGATCTGGGGCATCCGAGGCAGCGTAGATCTGAGCACGAAGATCAATGCTCTCTTGAAGCTTTTGAAACTCTTCTATTCGAGCAGCAAGTGACCCTTGTCGATCATCGGCAGTGCGTCGGGTCTCCTCGAGCTCTTTCACAGCTGTATCTAGCTGCGATTGCAGCTGGTTTCGTTGAAGCTCAACATTTGCGATAAGTGTGTCGAGATTTTCGAGGTCAGAGGTTGACTGAAGCTTATCATCCAGGAAGTCCTCAACTCGAATATCGAGTGATGTTCCTTGGTTGTTGGCGGCTACGGCTGCCATGTTGTATATAGTGGTTATGTGTTGATGGTGCTCATTTCATAGCGCAACGTAGCTACTCTTGAATGACGTGGGGAGCATGCCCCACTATACCCGATAACTACATACTTCTTCTAGATACAAGTGCTTCTGGAAGCTCAGATGGATTCACGACAGGCACGGAGTGTAGAGAAGATGCCGAGCGGTCCGACACCGACTTTCGATTAAAGAGAGCCGTAATTGAAGTCAATTGCGGTAAGTGGAAGGGTCTGAAATTCGCGGGTGGCTGAACGCCAAGCCTGGAGAGTTAGTCGGGTGGCTGGGCTTCTCATGAGGGTTGTCATGATGAATTTCACGGCTCTCTCGGGAGAATAAACTCACGGTTATGACGAAAAGTGTTCACGTATCATGTTGATCTTGTGCTAATAAAGAGAAGTCGTCGTCAGACACTTAGGTAAACAATTTGCATTTCATGTGAATTTCGGTTGACCCGCGCAGTCTGAAGTGAGTAAACATTGGATAGCTCAAGTTGTGTTGTGATGGAAGAAAATAGAACTTCACTCCTAGGTGAGAAAAACGTCGAGATCAGCTCTGAGTGGTTCAGTTTTGATAGAAACCGAACTTTGACTACTTGGATTTCATAGTAATTTAGAGGCCATGTATCTCTTTGCACGCCGAGAATAAGGTAGGTAGGCTGTCATTTGGCCGCGGGATAGCCTCGTTAGCTCCGACAGAGTGGATAATATGAGACTTCTTGGTTTGAGTCAGGGAGAAAAGACCCCATAGGGAAAAGTCGGGGAGTTTCAACTCAGTTCTCGCTTACTCGGGGTAAATGGGGCAAATGATTTGAGACCAGGTTAAGAATAGGATAACCGAGTGAGATGGATCTCAGCTACAGAATATGCCCGAGCATGATAGATCAAGGCGCCGAATGAGAATGGACAATTCCTGCAGTTCAGCTCAATAATTCGTCAATTGAGGCTATCGACATGAGCATGGCCAGTCCAGACGGAGGAACAAACAAGAGCCTATAAAACAATTGGTAATATGGGTATAGATAGCCCGATAAAGTACGGATGAGTCCAGTCGATAACCCATATCCCATTCGAAACGGCGCCAAATCGTCATGACAACTGCATTAAGCTGAGAGAGGTCCCGCTATAGCTTCTATCCTTGGCACGCTTGGCAAATCTGGGCGCTGACGAGCTGCCAGGGTCGAGCCCAAATCAAGGTCGCAGTTGGTCGTATAGAAACGCGTTGAATTTGCGGCGGAGCGATACGTAAGATCGTAGATCCTAGGGTTCAAGGATCATTGAGCCCAGGAAGTTGCTCAAGTCTGCGCTGCTGCAGGTCCAATAACACCTTGCCGCTTACAGTTTAGCGCCCGGTCGCGTCTAGGCTTCTCCTTCCTTCTGCGGCACCGGTTAGCGGGTTGCCCGGTGCTGAAAGGAGCCCTGGCCTGTCTAGAGCTCGCCCAGTTGGCAACTGTGGCTCCACATGTAAAACGTCACCGTCGCCAGGCCAACACGAGTAAATAGGTGGCTGGGCACTACACCTCTGCATCACCCACCGAAAAGTCCAGAGGTTGGTAGTTGTCCCAAGTCTTTCCCAGCCATCGAATATCCGCCCAATTTGTCTGGTATTGGTATACGAAACTGCTCCGACTAATTGACTGACTGACCGCTTCTCTCCTTTCCTTCTCTCCTTTTCTGAGGAGATTCTCTAACAAAACCAATAAGTCTTCACCCTCGTTAGCAGAACGTGTGAACTGATCTTCAAGGCTCTTGATTTATTGTGGCCAACTCTCAACTTGACTTAACTAGACTTGATTTATAACCTCCTTTAACAAGATCTCACCATTACAGGGCCCGACTTTCGCTCGTTGTCACCAACCGTCGTCTTTAGCCCACATACATTCCAGCGTCGACTGTCTACCGAGACATCGATTTCTCCCATCCGCATTCCACCGCTCATTCACCTCGACAAGAACCAGTTGTTCCCGAGACAGATTGACTGAACCAGCGGAGGAAGTTCAGGGTCGATCAAGGGATCGCTTCTAGAGTGTTACGCGACCAAGCGGTAACAGAAAGAGCAAGGAAACCAAGCGATAGTAGTCTTGAGCACCCGTGTTCGTCGCTCCCTGACTGGGAGACGGGCGCAGACAACTCAGTTGCTTCCCGCTACTACTTCAACCGACAACACCTTGAAGGAGTGCAGGATCAACATCATTCACAATGGGTTCCGGGACGAGCAGTAGCAGCAGCTCGTCCTCTAGAAGGCAAAAGGTCCAGGTCGGCTGGTATCGTAAGTGATCATCTAGTCTCGGGACATCGATGAAATGTCTCAATCTGAATCGTCCGCATTGCTAACATCCAGTTTTATTAGGCTTTGTTCCATTCCTCGGTTATCACCATGTATTGATGATTCTCATCGCCATCGCCATCATTCTATTATGTGAGCTATTTTGATCCCTAAATGAGACATTATTCTAACCAAACCAAGCTCTACTTCTCGCGGGCTGTTCATCGTCCTCGCCACTTATCCCCGATATCTTCCTACTATCTATCTACTACAAGGACTACACAGCAGTGCCCGATACAGCCCAGGTCGACTACAACCTCCATTCAGCTATCGAGAACATCGCAGGTGACGCATCATTGCAAGCTCGCGTTGGTTATTTCGGTATTTGTATTAACCCTGATGGAGGTTCCTGGCTGTGCAGCAACAATGCAACTGCCCTGGCTAAGGAGGTTGATGTGGACCAAGATCCTCTCAACCTCATCTGGCTGGCTGCTCAATTCAAGGATATGATTGTATTCCCATATCTTATGTGAGTGTTTATTCCGCGTGCACCGAAATCGAAGCATACTAACCTGATTCTCAGTATCATTGCCATCATCTTTGCTTTCGTCTGCCTTCTCCTTCTCGCGACCTTCCCCGGATGGCACGAGGAGACCGATTCAGAGGGTTCTGACCGCGAGGTCAAGCCTTTCCCGTCTCGTCCTGTCTCCCAAATCGCCCTTGCCCTGATCTTCATCTCAGCCATCTTCGTCCTTGTTTCTGTACTATGGCAACATACAGCGTCTGTGGCCGCCTCGGTTATAGCCCAGGATTTCGGAAACGGAGCTGTTAAGAGTGGTGTGGGTACCAGCGCCATGGTATTGGGTTGGTTCTCATTCGCCCTACTGATAGTTGTTACTATCGGTCTACTCATTATGATTCTCAGTATAAGCGTTCTCAGTTCGATGGTATAGGATACCTCGAATTCACCTGAGTCATCGCAGACTATTGCGGACTGAGTTGTCGAATAAATGTACATATGTCGACTAAGATCTTCGACACGAAGATGGTAAGATCAAGGACGGTAAAGGGCATCAGCATCGGAGTTACGGAAATGATTTTGTTTATTTAAAACGCTGAGCGATCGGTTATAATTTCGGTCTTTCAGCCTCGACATGGGACGGCACAGACGACACCGTACCGCAAAGCTTTATTCTATTCACGACATAGCCTAATTTGTGCCATGATGAGATATCGGATAATCGATACGATGGCCACTGAAAACAGAGGCCCCTCGACCGAAACTCAGCATGACCATGAGCTGGAACGATGAAGCGAAACGAGGAACGCACATCTTTTTTCCATATAGAATGAGGGACCCCACAGAAGACCGATCTCTCGAGATGAGAGACCATGTGGAATGGACGCGCTACAAGACACGATTTTTGAGACCACGAATGGGATGTGGTACGGGAATATGGGATATATGTCTTGACGTGAGAGGAGGAATGGGAATTGTTTATCGACATGTATTATCAAGACAACTTATTGTCACGCGCTTGCGAAATTGAGATTTGGGTCTGATTTTGACTTGTTTTGCATTACTGATTACTTTCTATGCTTCTTATTATAGATTGAAATTGCGCGTGAAAGAATGTTATTGGGGGTTGCGACAACTTGAACGGGCACGATTTGATGGATGAAACTAAGGGAGAACGAACAGCTGTGCTTCTAATAGGTAGTGACGGGCTTCTTCTTTACCGAGGGGACTCAAGACAATAAATCAAGTTGCGAATATCCTACTTGTTATCAATCACTCCCGTGAGCCAGAGTGACATTTTGCATGTAATTTCATTTGACCAACAACCTCTTTGAATCTCTTACACACTCAGATATAGCACTTAACAGTCGATCTGTATCTCGGCGTTCATATATCTCTGATGCGAAATGCTCTGAGTTTTGCTAATACTTAAATAGTTTTTGCTTCAGCTGTTTCAAAACCACTCATCCTAACGCCTCTGTTCAAAACTCTCCTGTCGTTAACCCTTGGTCGTCTATCCTTGCTATCCTTGCATTCTATACCCAGAAACCCAACTACCATATTGTACCGTCTTTAGGCACATCATTATGGTCCTTCACCACTTCCTTTCCCTGGTTAAGAGTTGGTTTCCGCGTTATCTGCTGATGTAATGTTGATATTGGCTGGCTGATGGCTCGCCCTCTTCTATTAAATCACGGACGAGAAGTCTGACAGTATGAGCTTATGTTCGTGGCTAGACTCTCCTCTGCTGGGAGTTCGACAGGTGTTGTGTTGATTTGAATAGCGAGTTTCTGATCCACTGAGGCTTCACTGGCTCGATTTAGATGGTTCAATGCACCAACAATGGGAACCATATGGTGCGGAGAACTATCAAGTTCAGCAATCGGCGGTATCCAGCTATAGTCAGGTCTTGTAAAACCTGAAGAGATTGAAGATATTGTTGTAGAAGACGAATTTGACCATGTGAGTTGCCCCGGGTAGTGGCCGGATTGCATATGGTGGAGCTGAGATGCTGATTGTGTGGCTGTCGGCGGCATTGAAAATGAATGGTGCTGACGATAAGGGCTTGAAATGTTTGATGATAGACGTGAAGGAGTGTAGTTAAAGCTCGCTCGCTGGCTAGTTTGGCTCAGATCAGAGACGCTATCATAGGGGCTATGAAGCGGAAGATGTTGATCGGAAGCATTCTGAGTGAATTGTGGAGGCAGTCCTTGAGACGGAACCGTCACTGGCTGATTTAGTAGACCATTTTTAGATGGCGCCGAGGATGGCGAGTGTTTCAAGTCTAAGGGATCTCCAAGAAGTAGACTTAATCCTGCGAGGGCCTCGCTATCGTATGTGGAACTTGAAGTAAACGACTTCGGTGGAGCTGTGTTGGCCATATTGACTGGAACAAGTTCTGGCAGTGATTCAGGCGCATGTTCCATATGCATCGTCTGCGAACTGCTTGATCTATGAAGAGACTGAGGCACTTGGAGCGAAGATGGAGTTGTTGGTGTTGTCGATTCTGCGTTTGTGTTGAAAACTATGGTTGGGGTTAGAGGTGCAACAAACTGAACAATTGGTGGTTGTTTCTTGGTAGGAGCTACAGCAACATATACTATCAGACCATTTGATGAACTGGTATGTGTGATGGGAGTATTTAACTTGCCTGTCAAGTCACCAAGAAGATCCCCTAGCAGTGCAACATTATCAAACACTGCAGCATCCTCCTTCACACCACACTTCTCCTTCACCTTCACAGGTTCAGAAACAGGAGCCAAAAGAGCTATCTGTCTCAAGAAGTTCAACTCGGCGAGCACAGCGGCATGATGTCGACTAACAATAGGCTCCTGGCTCTTGAATTCGCTCGCATCAACAAGTACCCATGCCATGCGTTTCGAAAAAGTTGTCTTCCCACCTCTGTCAGCCCCCGGGCGACATCTCTCTACAATCTCGCAGACTTCTTGAAGTCCTCTCTGAGCTGATTCAATGATGCCGTGTACGCGGTCGAGAACCTTCGGGCGGCGCTGGAGAAGGGGGAGACATTCGTTGCGTAGCTCTATGAGATGTTGAAGATCTGAGTCGCATGTTCGAACGAGCTCGAGACTGCGGCGGATGTCGTTGGGGACTTGGTCGTGGTCCAAGGCCCAGGTCAGGAGGTTGAAACTTGCGTGTATTGCCCTGAGGGGGTTAGGCATGATGAATCGGGACAAAAGACTGTGTTGTCCGAAATGAATAGTCTCATATAATGAAGTGGTCTGGTGATTTTACTGAGAAGAACAACATGTAAGCTATCATCTAGGTATTGATTAGTCCTTGTTGAGCTGCAGGCGATGATGCTACATAGACGACAATCCTCGCATTAGTCTTCCCCGCTTAAACAAGAAAAGAGAGAACAAAATCAGGCTGTGGTGCAAGTCTTTTTACGAGTTGCACATTATCCATTCACTGTCACATCTTTAAAACCCATGTTCAGAGCTGAAACCTGAGGTGATATCAAAGGCATGTGGCTTGCATATCCAGAAGCAGGCTCTGAGAAAAAGCTCAGTGATCAACCACTAAAATCAAAGTAGGCAAGACAATTCAATAGTCTCATGCAATACTTCAGTTGAATAGACTATTGGATGTGTCCCGGGTGGGTGTATATGCCCCATCAATCACACTGTTGGTGGTGTTATGAAATTGGTTCAACTGCATGCAGACAGCCACCGCCAAGAATAATGAGGACAACAGTAGGCTAGTTGGCAGTACTTGAAGAAGGTTTCCAATTTTAATGGCGCTGTCTAGTTTCATATTTACTTCTTGGTTATTGTAATTATCACTCCATTGTGGCCGAATTCAGTAGTGAAGGCGGCTTAGAAAATAAGTTCTGTGCTAACGTACTATATATTAAGCCTTTTGCAACTCAAATCCAAGAATCCAGTCATAAAGAGCGAATGACCAACAGGCTGTAGTCAACGAGCTTCTTCTCTCTTACAGAGGCATTGTCTCCGGTGCCACCACCTCCTTGGGCGATCTACACCTCGTTCCATCATTATGGCTGAGCCTCTCCAAACCAGGGCACACCACGATCCTGCGGCTTTTTGTAATGGAGTTGCTGTTGCTAAAAACAAATCTCCAGTCACTCGGCTGTGATAGAACAACATAACCCAATTTGGTGCACTCAAGGATGACAGCCTGCAGATGGTTCATCTGATCCTGTTGGCTGGCAGGGTCTTGTGTAACAAACAGCTTCAAGAAGTCGTTGAGCTCATTTGCAAAAGATAGAGCCTTGGGAGAAGCTTCTGACACTGGCACCGGGAGTGGTGTTCTCGCATCGGGGTTTGGATGGAGAAGCAGGGCAGAGAGACTTCGCCACCTTGAACGTGCCAGGAGAATTGCTAGAAGTACGATTAGCAATTTTTACAATCGGGCTCTAGGAGAATGTAAGATCGTCTTACCAGGATTGTTTGCATTTTCGGCTGAGTGGCTTCCTTGTACTAATGCTGCAACCGCTAGTGGAAGCATGGACAAGCTACTGCCAGAACTGAAATCGAGGCTCCGAAAGATGACATGCGAGAGAACATGGCGGAGCCCAATTTTAGAAGTCTTGGGGTTGAGGCAAACGGCAGCAACTGTGTCTGCCTGCAGTCCTGATGATTCTGGTGAGTAGCCAATATTGATAAGGCTCTGGGCTACCTCAACGGGGTCGGCCTGAACCTGAGGTTCACGGTAACCGTTCTCGACATGCTGATAAATGAGTTCGGAGAGCGAGCGCAACTCCGCTTGGATCTCCTTATCAGGAGTTGCCTCGAGAAGAAACTGGCTGAGCTCAGCATCGTGTCTCGGCGATGAAACTATGACCTGTGTTCCATCTTTTGGTTCCGTGTATTTTTGGTCTGCCAAGACAAATCCTTCACTTGCTGGTTTGCCTCTTCGCCGTTTTCGGAGAAGGATAAAAGCTGCTATGAGTCCTAAAGCAAGACCAGCAATGAGACAGCCGATGGCAACTCCAGCCACGGCGCCGCCTGCAAGTCCATCTGCTGATGGTTCTGATGTTGCAGTCGGACTGGTTGTGCCTGTTCGCGCCGTTGTATCTGTTGCTGAGGGCTCCTCCGGGTCTGTAGAGGACACGATGGCCGAGGCTTCGGTTTGAGTTGCGGCGGTTGACCCTGAAGTCCCAGTGTCGGTTGCTGCTGACTCTGTCCCATTCGGAGCCTCCACAATCACGTTGGTGAATATGAATCCGGTAGGACTTTGAAATTGATCAGGGCGTAAAACGGTCACAGGGCGGCGGTCGCCTTCCTCTAATGTCAAAGTTGCCGGGCCATATACTGTGGTTGCCGTCACCTTTTCATTCCCAGTAACCATCTTCGCAATAAAGAAATGGAAGAAAAGGTAAGGGGTGTGTTAAGCAGTCTCAAATGCAGGAGAGCACGATAGATTGACCGTCGTTGGGTCTTTTTGAAAGAAGAAAAAGAGAGTGGAAGACGGCTCCAGAAATTGAAAGGCTTTCAGGGGAGGCGTTGCTTTTGACCATGAACAAAGCCTGAGCAAACTTGCCCTACTGCCATTTGATTGCCACCACGACGTTCCTCTATACAGGGGTTCAGTTAACAGCATCCCTTGTCAAGCCAGTCAGCACTGGTGAGCATCAAAAATGCATGTATCATTATCAGGCTGAGACCGAAGGCCGAGTCTGTCTTTTTCCAGCCCAATCTTCTGCATATTGACCCGCACACCCTTGGAGGTGTGTCTCACAGATCAATATCGCGAAGTCCAGCTCTGATACCTGAAAGCAGGCTTATGGCATGGGCCACTTCCGAGCCTTGTCAGATTGCTGGCAATAAGGCTCTCAAACAACTTTTTGACTCTTCCTCTATCACTTTTTGAGAACTGGGCAGACTAACAAATGGAGGAGCGACCAGACTTGACCGTCTCTGTAGACCTTGGCACGACCTTTACGGGTGAGTACCGGTCTAACAAATACCAGATACAGACTGACTCGTTCTAGGCGTCGCCTGGATGAGGCATGGGATCCCGATTCAGATCGTCAACGACTGGCCTGGAAGCGACGATAGAGGCGATCGAAAAGTCCCCACGACAATCGTATACAACGCCGATGGAAGTATCTCATCGTGGGGATTTATGTGTGTCGACGATGACCACGACACGAGCAAGACACGTCGCGACTTCTTCAAGATCTTTTTAGATCCAGAGACCCTCGACGCAGCACAGCACCAGGGTCTGAGCAACGTCCCGCAAAGCACTTCTCAGGCTCGCCAATTCGTGACAGATTATCTGAAGCAGATATACTCGCATGTTAAAGATAGCATAGAGATGCGCATGGGTATAAAACATGTCGGTGGATGGGATCATATGACTGTGCTATTCCTCTTCAGTGCGCCAACGACGTGGACGAGTATGGCTATCATCAACACCTTCAAAGGCGCAATTCATGATGCTGGATTCGGAACTGGAGGCCCACGACATTCAGCATTGGTCGATCTCACAGAATCCGAGGCTGCAGCTGTAGCAACTCTCAAAACTGGAGCTATAAGCCTCAAAGAGAACAGCGTATTTCTGACCGTCGATGCGGGTGGTGGTACAACAGACCTCGCCTTGATGCGAGTCACTTCAACAGACTCGAGCTTTCCACAGCTGTCTCAAGTCGCTGCCGTCAGCGGTGTAGGCGTGGGTTCATCACTTATTGATCGCGCATTCGCAAGACTTGTCTCGCAAAGGATGGCCGCGAATCCTGACTTCAAGCTTCCGGCTGATTTTGCAGCACGCATGGCTCGAAGCCAAGGATTCAAGAGCGTCAAGCACAAGTTTGGCGAAAAAGTATATATGCAGCCAGTATACAAAATCATAATGGAGGGTGTAGGATACGATGTGAACCACGAAGGACTCGGAGTTCAAGATGGGCGCATGCTTTTTACCAAGTCAGTTACTATCCCACTACTGAAAACGTATCTTCCGTGTCGACTTACATGACTGATCCATTGCAGGCAAGACATTCAAGCCCTCTTCGATGTCCATATCGAAGCAATCATGGCCCGAATTCGCAAGCGACTTGACTGGTTGACCGAAAAAGGCCTTTCAAAGCAAGTGGTAAGGCGATCCGAGTTTGAAGCTCGACCGAAGCTCATTTCGTATATAGGAGTATGTGATTCTGTCCGGTGGGCTGGGAAGTTCAGCCTACGTCCGTGAGGTTCTTCAAGAACACTTGACCAAGCTGCAACATCCAAATGCTCGAAATATTGTCGTTATACCCTCCCAAGACCCGCAGCTTGTTGTCGCTCGTGGAGTTCTCGAGAACAAGCGACAGAGGATGGAGTCGGGGAACAAATCTGTGCTCAGCACCTGGATTGCTCGAGCGAGCTACGGCATAATCGTCCAGGAGGTCTATATGCCTGCACAGCATTTTGATGAAGAAATTCGGCAAGATCCGTGGGATCCAAATGTGAAGTGGGCGACGAACCAGATCCAATGGTTGATCAAAAAGGTATGCTTATGGCCGTTCTTTTTGCTCACAAACTGGAAATTGACAAAAAGAAAAACACAGGGAGATACTGTCAATCCAGACTCTCCGTTGGTCAAACGATTTGAAATCAGGCTGAAAGATGGAGACACTACACGAGCTTGGGACGCAGAAATTGTGGTGTCGAACAACGAAGCCGAATGGCTCCCTCGAAGCCTTAAACAAGCCGGCGTTATGAGACTTTGCTCTGTAAAGAGCAACCTCGCTGGCATCGAACAACACCAGCTCGTTCTTAAAGAAAAGCGAGGAACTTGTTTCCGGCGTGGACACAAGTTCTACATTTGTAGGTTCGATATTCGAGTTATTGTTGCTCCCGTAGACCTGAGATTTGAGCTCTGGTTTGGTGGAACGAAGTTCTCTGGCAATCACCAGCCTATCTCAGTCCAATGGGATGCAGCTAAAGGTTGAGAGAATAGATGATGAAGATGGAACAAAGTGAGTGGCTTCACTCTAAGCCACGAAACGCTGAGGAGATACCCCGGCTGCAGATGAAATAAGTATGTACATTGATATATCCTCAGTTGATTGGCGCCTTGTAATCATACATTATCCTGACCATTCTCCAAAAACGCCTTTGTCGTGACTTTGACTTGCCCGATGATGAAACAGCATTGCCACCCTTCCTTCCTCCTTTTCAAAACTCAATACTTTTTAAGCAAAATCTCAGTACAATGACTTATAAGCGCGCGCTGAAATGGCGTTCATGTTGACCTCTTGAAAGGATGCGCTTCAGTGTTGAGAACCCATTCGTCAAGACTGATGACGTTGGGCTCTGAAAAGAGTAGATAATAGTACTTGAGAGTCTCAGAAATCCAGAAACTCTCCATCTCGTCCTTCAGATTATTCTCTGTGGCCGTCACGTCTTCGATGGCGCTATTGGCGAATTCGGTGCGAGTTGCAGCGATTGTAGCCTGGAACATCTTCCAACCCTTATCCATCCAGGTAGTATCGCCAGTAATGCGATACATGTACCAAACAGACTCAATCGCCTCAGGTCTGTAACTTTATGTTAGTAGGGGTAACAAATTCATTACATAATACAAACTTACCGAAGGATGTAATTCCGGTTCATTATATCAGTGTAGCCTGGAGGTAGTCTTTCTCTTTGAATCCTCGACTTGACGTACTCCTCGTGCGTCACTGGCCTTTCTAGAGGTATATCATCAGAAGCAGCAACTTGCTCTGCGTTTCTGACGGCATCAAAGCTGTCTACAGTGGCAGGCTTCGGCTCGAGGGTCTTTTCTGTTGCGTCCTGGACAGCAGCGGGTTTGTTCTCTAGCTCGACTTGAGCAGGCTTGGCTTTCTCTGAATCAGGCATGCCCGAATCCGCCTTTTCTGCTTCGGTTTTTCCAGACCCGTCCTTGTTCAGCCCAATTTTCTGTTTGAGTGAATCGGGGAGCGTTGATCCAAACTCCGAGTCGTCCTCTTCCATACTTCTATCCAGCTCAGGCATCGGTATACCCGCCCGCTTGACCATCTTTGGGGGATTAACGACGGGCCCCGGTCCCTTGGTTGAATCATCGGGCTTGTTTTGTTGGGCGGCAGCGGGAGCGGCTCCTTCTGCGAGTTTCCTCTGCGCCTCACCGTCTGACCATTTTCGAAACTCACTATCGCGCCATTCTCTGTTGGGGTCGAGATCCTCATACCAACTCTCTTCACTGAAAGCACACTTTTCCAGGGCAGGACAGGCGACCAGATGAGCATATTCAGGCATTATACCGGTAGCCGTTGACTGATATGCCCACACGCAACCATCAGTGAGCTTTTTAGCCTTGTCGATATCCCCATCACGACCAAAGATCTTACCGCCGAGTCCATACATGCCTCCAACGAAGCATGCAAGATGAGCCATATCGTAGGTCTTGGTCCATTCTGAGTCGCCCCTGCTAGAAGTCGTCAACTTTCCTGTGAAAAACACATCCCAGCCATCGTCTTTGATCATAGGCCGATAAAGCAACCATTCATTAATCGCATCGATAGTGTTCTCATAGAGCGGGCGATACTTGGGTTCCAGACCATTCAGGAGCAAGTATTGCTAAGTCAAGTCAGACAATATGATGAAACAGAATATGACAGAGCAACATACCTTGGGGAAATACTCATAGGCTGAATCTTGGGCACCTCCCATGTGGAAATGTCCGTAGTTAGGGCTACTGGAAACGAGACCCTGGGGCTTGCAATCCCAGTCTGCCGAAGATCCGTCTGCAGCAAGAGGGGGCGCCTGTTGAGCCGCAGGTCGAGGTGGTGTCTGGTCGCCTCCTTTGGTTGTCTCATCAGTACTTGCAGGAGCATCACGGCGTTGGAGCTTGTCCTCCCAACGACTATCAGCCTGGGGGAGCTGTGCGGGAGAGGCTGCATCTCCGCCCAGTTTCGTGGGATCAAACCCTTCAGGTTCCTTAGTCAGGTCGGCAGAATTGACCTGCTCCCGGGCCTCTTGGCTGAGGCTTTCGGTCCGAGTGTCGGCGGTCCTGTTACATCCAGAGGCATCGATGCGTTCGGGGAAAAGGCCTGGAATATCAGTGCCTGCTGCTTGCATCTCAATCAAAGCATCGGTGATACGGTCAACAGCATCATAGTATTTGTTGGTGCCCGTCAATTGAGCGAGGCGAGTGAACTCCATAGACAGAGTTCCAAGCTCAGCGATTCCGACAGTGCTTGCTCGGTGAGGTTGTGAAGCGTAAGGCTCGTGCCACCGATAATACAATAGGGGCATGCGGTTAGGCGTATCAAAGACGCCCATGAGGATCTCCGCAAGTTCGATGGCCTTATCTAGCAGAATCTTATACTGGCCGGAGGCTCCGCCGCTAACATCGTACGCAGCGATAAGACCACCCAAGTAACGAATGGTAGTTTCAAACACGGGAATGTCGTTACGTTCAGAGTAAGTGAAGTCGACATTAGCGACAGCCTTGGCGGCTTCGTCGAACTCTTCTTTCATACCGGCGATCCAAAGAGTATCAAGCGAATCGATGAGCGTCGCGCCCCAACCACAAAAAGTGTCGCGATACTTCATAGAAGCAGGCTTGAGCTCATCATGTGGAAATGCGAATTTGCGATAGCCAGTCCAGGCACGTTTAATCTCTGCCTTGACACGTTTCAGTCGATCCAATCGAGTGGTGCTCGTCTGTACGTCCTCAGGTTGGAAGTCGAACTGGATTCTGTTGATACTAGGAGCTGTGCCAGTTGGGACTGGTCTGATTGACTCAGGAGGAATAGGGAAGTTCTCCTTGGGCTTGGTCCAGTGAACTTTAGATCCATCAACGTTGACATCGGGGATATCAGGATTGTCAGCCTGCTTAGGAGGGTCCTTGAAGTGAACATCGGGAATCTGTGGTGCAGATTGCTCGGCTGGCTCCTTGGGCTCTTCCTTCTTGTCATCTTGTAGCGCAGCATCCCCAGCAGAGATGGGTTTCTCAACGGCAGGCTTCTCTTCCACAGGTGTATCAACTTTCTCTGGGACCTTTTCTGGTGCAGTTGGGCCGCCTTGAGGTGCGGCTGGTGCGGGTTTATTGGCAGCGTTGGAATCCTGCTCGGAATCGGGAAGCTGGATGGGTGGCGGTACGACAGGCGGTTCAAAGGCTTCTTTTGAGCCCTGCACTGGCTCAGAAGCTGGCTGGTTCGGTTGCTTCACCGTTTCGAAGTGAGGGGACTGTGACCACGAATTTTGCATGAATCGATACAGCAGGAAGACCATGGCCACAGCAACTATGGCATAAAATCGTCCACGCCGACGGAGTGGAAGCATTGCGACGGATCGTGGCTCGCCGAGGCGAGGCTTTTTGGGGGCGATTAAGGTTTAGATAGAAGATTCAATTCGAATTGCGCCTTGCTATAAAGCGAGGTTTTGCTAGAGGGGCTCGCTTGATCGATGTCGTCAAAGACTCTGGTGTCGCCTATGATACTGAGCGACGCATTCCGTCTGGTACCAGACCAACTTGAAATGGCTGTCTTGTGCTTCCTTCTTTGTGCCTGATTAGCCAAAAGAAGAAAACAAATAGGTCAAACTCCGACAAGAAACCGACTCTAAAAAGATGCAGATGGAGAAGGCAAACAAGAAAGCGAACGTTAGGTTGTCGGGGAACAAAGACAAGAAAGGACAGTCTCAAAGATCTGAGAGTTAGTAGAGGAAGGAGACCTCCACCGGCTTGACCCTCTGTCTTGGCAAAGCCAGGAGAGACCACATTTTAGTGGCATTGGTTGGCTAAGATGAGGTAACGTCAGGGGCTTTATGGAGTCTAGCGTATACCCCTGGTGCTAACTTTAGCATCATCGCAGGGTCTTCCCGTCCACTTGCACTTCTGCAAGTTTAAGGCTCAATCAATGGAGTCGAGGAGGATTGACATTGAGTGTGAGAACATACTTATTTACTGGTATATGTTTATAATGATATGTGTTTCTAGCTCTGAGGAAATGCTGCTACTGATGAGGAAATGGTGAATATCACCCTGAATGTCACTGACTTAATATTGCATTCTGATAACTTGACTTTGATTCCTGATAATAAACTCAAAGCTATTGGTCAGTAGATGCGCAACCGACCCTTTCTACTTACTTCCCCTCGGCTATGAGTATTCGCATGTGTTTGTTAGAATCAGGGTTAGTTTGTTTGGCTGTACTCGGTAACTCAATTGCGTTTAAACTACCACCTAAAAGCTTCTCACACGTGCATCCATTCCCAAACTGGTCAACCTGGTCCTCAGTCTCAACGGGGCCGTTACCGTGCCGCTTAAGCTCCGTGTTCTAGATTCAACGGAGCCTTGACCTCCGATTTCAAATTCGGAATGTCCACTTCTGCTTCTTGTTCACCCCCAAGAAGAAAACACAAAAACTCAATAATCAATTTGGGCTATGATTATCATTTCGAGGCATTGTTGCTATGTAGCTAATGAGGTGGGTTTGGTATTCCACGTGAATGAAACTTACTTCGATACCTTAAAGGATACAAACCTATGAAAGCTGTCGCATGAGTACCTAATTTAGCATCCTGTTGATAGAGTTTATTGATTTCGGTCCTGCAAACTTAAAATTCAATTGATCTCCAATCCTGAAATATAGATCCCTCCTTCATAACATAAAGCGTTACTGTTGGCTGCAGCTGCTTTCCATAAGGTAGCATATAGGGTAAGCCTGTTGGCCAACAGTCTCCTCTCAACAGAGAAAGCCAACTGCGGTCAGTTGTTCCCTATTGAGATAACAAATAAAGAACCAGTTCATCACTGATCAGAATGCTCAATCCCTATATGATATTATTCGCTGTCAGTGGAAACCTGTATCCTGGTGGCCCAAGTACTTAGCATATCATTGATTTGGGTCAACGCCGTCTGATATCTGTGACTGTCAAGGAAGAGCTTGAGACAGAAGATCCAGCAACAAAGCAGCTCCAAAAACATGCAGATAACCTTGTACCAGAAGTTTTTGCAATTCAAGTTTCATTGGAGGGCAAGTTGCTGTCAACGTCGAACAATCCAAGAGATGACGATGCTCTCTGCCCATTTTATCCCCTTTGGAAGCAACTGAACTCCCAGAAAATGTTCAAATTCCATCGAGGTCTAACTTACAAGAACTTCATCGACTTAGTCCAATGGTAAGTTAGACCTTGTCAGTTACCTCCCGTCATCTGAGAAAGAACAAAGTGTTCAAGTACTATTTCATCCCTCAACGATTATCTCACACCTGGCACGAAATGAGTTTGTGGGTGCGTCCACCCAAGCACCCTCATATTGTCCCTTTCGACAAGATTGTCGTAGATGAACTAGAGGGTCGGGTGTTGGGTTCACGACCAAGCACGTCTCGGGTGGTACCCTTGAAGAGAACAGAAACCGTGTATTCAACCTCAAATGAACTCAATCTGAACCTAGGGATAGCGCATTAAGATATCGCCCTTAGAAATCACCTCGTTGATAGCCCAGCATATTATTTGATGACATTCGACTTGAACTGGTCTTGTCGTATAGGTGCCGGGCTATAGTGAAGCTAGAAATGATATTGATGGTGTTCATTCACTATGAGCTAGTCACTCGCGACAAAACTCTACGGGCTATTCGACACAAAGAACAAGATGTGTCAAGAGTTGAGCAAAGAGAGTGGATGAAGCACATAGATATTCAGCTTGACAGCACGGTCATGAAAATAACTAAAAACCGCAAAGAGAAAGTTTTAACACCCTGATAACCAAGCATGTAGCTTTGAGCCTGTTTCTTGACGTCATTATGAACAAAATATCCATTTGTAGTGCGATTTTCAATAATCGCCTCTTTCCCCTGTGGCTTAGTTGGCTAAAGCGTCCGACTGTTATTAAATAGACAATCGGGAGATCGGAAGTTCGAGCCTTCCCGGGGGAGATAACTACTTTTTTTACTACTCTTATTAAATAATAAAATATTTTTTTTTCCCTTGCCTTTAGCCTTATATAAGGCCATTAAGCTTTTTAGCTTTTCTATTAATAATTTAAATAGTAAGACCCTTATAGCAAGCTATTATTATAAAAGTTAGAATTAAATAAGGTTTATCTACCTTAATAATATAATTACTGCCTTAATTAAGTAATATTAATACTAGTTATATCTTAGCAGCTAGATTAACCTTTTTCCTTTAACTTATTTAAAGGATTATACCTTAATTAACCTTTATAATATATTATATTTAATTTATTTATTATATTTCTAAAGTATATTATCTAACCTAACTTCTAACCCTTTTTATTAATAATATAATAGCTATACTGCCTTAATACCTATTATATAAAATAGCCTATAGCTATATAATTATACCTATTATATAACTAGCTATAATTTTAATTTAGCTATTAGGCCTGCCTTAAAGGTAGTTAATAAAAAAGAACTTTATATAATATATATAATAATTATTATTATTATAAAGAACTTCTTATTAAGGGGCAAATTTAACCTTATTAAAATAGCTATTTTTAATTATAGCCTAATTTAATTAATTAATTATATAAAAAAAAGATATTATATTAATTTAATTAATTTAAATTAGGTTAATAATAAGCTATTAGGTCTTAAAGACTTAAAAATAGCCTTAAAAAAAGGTTATCCTTTTTAATTAAATAAAATAGCTTTTTTTATTACCTTTATAAGCCTAAACTTAGCTATATATAAAAAGTAGCTCTTTAATATATCTATAAGGGCAGCTAATATTACTAAAGAGCTGCTTTTAAATTAGCAAAGACTAGCCTAGTTATAGTCTTAAATTATAAAAGTATAAAGATAAGGAGTTTATATATAAAGTTCTAGGATAAATATAAGGTAAAGGCAGGGTTTAGAAATTCTATTAAAGTTAAAATTAAAGGAATTATATTAAGTCTGTTAGTTTTTATATAAGTTAATTAGCAAAAGTTAAATTAACCTTAATTAATTAAATATATATAATAGGGCATATAATTAATTAACCTTATATATAAGAATAAATAAAGTAAAATTAGTAAAAAAGCAGTAATCTAAACTAGAAATAATTAATATAATAAGTTAATTTTATTATCTTTAGTTATTAGGTATTAATTAAAGGTATTATATAAGATAATTACTTTATTAAATTTATTAAATACTAAAAGAAGGTTTTAAAAGGCCTAGCTAATTAATTAAAAAAGGGCATAAGTATATTATTATAATAGCAGGCCTTTATTAATAGTATTATATTAGCTAGCAGTAATGCTATATATTTAATATAGTTTAAAAAGTTAAAAAGTAAGGTTTAGTTAGTTAAATTAAGAATATAAATATTTTATTATAAGAAATAAAGGTAATTATAGGGTAAAGGAGAGGAAGTAAGGGGGAAAAGAGAAGAAAGAAGTTAAATTAAGAAATAAAGGTTTTAATATTTAAGAAAAAAACTATAAAGGCTAGTTAGTAGACTAAGACTAGCTTAGCTAGTTAATAATAAATTAGATTAAGTTATAAGATAAAGTAATAATAATAAATATAATAAAATAATACTTAAGAATTTAATATTATATAAAAGACTTCTTAAAAAAACTATTAAAAATATTATAACTTCTCTTTTAATAAAAGTATTAAAATTAAGGCTAAAAATATTATAAAGCTTACCTTCCTTATTATTTTATAAAAAAGGAATAAGTAAATTAATAATTTAAAAAAAGCTTATAAAGAAGCTTTAAAGAGATATAAGAAAGATATATTATATATTTTATTTACCTTAAATAATATATTATAAGAAAGATAAAATAAATATAAATAATATTATTAAAAGTAAATACTTACTTATATTAAGGAGATTAAGGATAATTAAATAGCCTTTAATAAATAAACTTTATTTTTAATTAAAGACTTAAGGAATTATAAATTATATTAAATTAAACTTTTAAAATATATTAAATAATACTTAAGATAATTTTTATAAAAGTTTTATAATAATTTAAATTTTATAAAGAGATATCTCTTATAAGATATTACCTTAATATAAAAGGCTAATTAATATTAAGCTAAATTAACTTAAAAACTAAGAGATATTATAGCCTTAAATAAGACTAAAATTCCTTTAATAAGAAAAGGATATATTATAATAATTACTTATATATAAAATATACTTAATAAATAAAGGAAATAACTTAATACCTTAATTAAAAATAATAATTAAAAATATATTAAGTCTTAATACTAGGCTTTATAGCCTATAATATAAACTTAGAGTAGTTATTACTTAAGCTAAAAAACCTATAATAAGGGCTAAAAGATAAAATAGAATTTTAATTAAAAGGATAATACTTATAGAAAATATAAAAAACCTAGGTATTAGGCTAAAGAATGCTTAAAAATAGGCAAGATTAATAATATTAAAAGGTAAAAAAACTAAATTAGGCTAAGATTTTAAGCCTATATTAGCTTATAAAATAATTACTTAAAATAACTTATAAAATAGCTAAGAATTTAATTAATATTAATATTTAGAAATTTAAGTACTTAATATAATAACTAAAAACCTAATTAATATATACCTTATTAATTAAGGTTATTATTTATAATTATAACTCTATTTAAATATAGATATTGCTTAATACTATTATAAAGATAGATATTATTAATAAAAAGTTTACTTAAATATAAGGATTAAGATAGCTAGGTAATATAAATATATCTCTTTAAGGTATAGATAAAAAACTTATAATTACCCTTAGAAAATAAGAAATAAGGTTAATATTAACTAATTTCTAGAAATAAAAGCAAGAAGTAATTTAAAGCTTTATAAGTATCTTTAAAGAAAATAATAAAGACCTTATTATTTTAGTAATAGTAATAATAAAAGACTTTTAAATTATACTTAATTATAAGCTAGAATATTAGGTTTTTAAGGGCTATTATAAAAGGCTAAAACTTTTAATTATATAGTAGTTTATAAAAAGAATTAAATTATTAAGTTAGATTTTTAATATTACTTTTATTAATAAATCTTATTTACTTTTAAATAAAAAAGCTTAAAAACTAAATTTAATTAATAAAATACTTAAAAAACTTTATACTTATATTAATATATTTAACTTTAATAAGGCTATTATAATCCTTAATCCTAAATGTATTAATTATATTATTAAACTATAAGAAGGAAAAGAGCCTTCTTATAGCCTTATTTACTTTTTATCTTCATTAAAGCTTAAGGAGCTTTAAGAATATATTTAAGAGAATTTAAAATTAGGTAAAATTAGACTATTTAAGAGCCTAATAATAGTCTTAATCCTCTTTAAACTTAAAAAAAATAAAGAATTATAACTTTATATAAATTATAAAAGATTAAATAGTATTATAATTAAGAATTACTACCCTTTACTTTTTATTATTAAAATTATAAATTAAATTTAAAGTATTAAGTTTTTCTTAAAAATTAATATTAAAAATACTTAATATTATATTAAAATTAAAAAAGGTAATAAATAAAAGATAGTATTTTATACCTAATATAATTACTTTAAGTATATAATTATATTATTTAAACTAATAAATATTTCTATTACTTTTTAATATTATATTTATTAAATACTTAAAAGATTAATTAATATTATTTATATAATATATTTAAATAATATTTTAATCTTCTTAAAGACTAAAAAAGTATATATAAAATACTTAGAATAAATCTTAAAATATATAAAAAGGGCTAAATTTATATAAAAGGATTTAAGTATATATTTTACCAAGATAAGGTAGAGTTTTTAAGGTTTATTTTAATTACTAAAGGTATAAAAATAAACTTAAAAAAGATTAAGATTATTTAAAAATAAAAAAAAAAACTAATTACTTATTAAGAAATATAAGTCTTTTTAGGGCTTTATAACTTTTATAAAAGGTTTATTTATAGATATTTTAAAGTTATTATATTATTAATAGTAATACTAAAGGGGAGCTAAAATAGTAAAAAACCTAGCTTAATAAAGCTAGATAATATATAAAGTTAAGTATTTAAGACCTTAATTATTAAATTTAATAAGGCACTTATATTAAAATACTTTAATTTATTAAGATAAATCTAAATTAAAACTAATATATTAAGGTATATTATAATAAGTATATTATTTTAATTAAATATTAAAAGGAGATTTTACTTAATAGTATTTTAATTATAAAAGTTTAATAAGACTAAATTAAATTATAATATATTAAATTAAGAAATAATAACTATAATAAAGTTATTTAAATATTAATAATATTACCTTAAAAAGGTATTAAAGTAAATTAAAATCTTAAGTAATTATTATAACTTATAATTATTTATAAAAATATAAAGTTAAATAATAAGTAAGCTAAATAATACCTTTACTTAATACCTTATAATTTTATAATTAAATATTATAAAGAATTAATAAACCTAGCTAATATATTATTAAAACTTATAAGAGTTTATAAGAAATTGCCTTAAGATTTTAATTTATTAAAAACCTTAAAAAGTAAAATAGCTAAGGTATAAGTTATAATAAAAGCTTATAAAGAAAAGAGATTAAATAAAAGGCTTAAAATAAAAATAAATAAGTCTTAAACCTTAAGTAAAAAAGAATTTAATAAAATTTCTTTAATAATTAAAGAAAATATAATTTAATTATTAAAAGTTAATATTAAAGGTAAAATACTTAAGATATAAATTATAATAACCCTAGTTTAAACTACTGCTTTTTTACTAATTTTACTTTATTTATTCTTATATATAAAGTAAATTAATTATATGCCTTATTATATATATTTAATTAATTAAGTTATAACTTTAAGTTAATTTAACTTTTACTAACTAACTTATATAAAGTAATAGACTTAATATAATTCCTTTAATATATTCTAACTTTAATAGAATTTCTAAACCCTGCCTTTACCTTATATTTATCCTAGAACTTTATATATAAACTCCCTATCCTTATACTTTTATAATCCAAGACTATAGCCAGGCTATTACTAATTTAAAAGCAGCTCTCTAGTAATATTAGCTGCCCTTATAGATATATTAAAGAGCTACTCTTTATATATAGCTAAGTTTAGGCTTATAAAGGTAATAAAGAAAGCTACCTTATTTAATTAAAAAGGATAACCTTTTTTTAAGGCTATTTTTAAGTTTTTAAAACCTAATAGCTTATTATTAACTTAATTTAACTTAATTTAAATTAATATAATATCTTTTTTTTATATAATTAATTAATTAAATTAGGCTATAATTAAAAATAGCTATTTTAATAAGGTTAAATTTGCCCCTTAATAAGAAGTTCTTTATAATAATAATAACTATTATATATATTATATAAAGCTTTTTTTTATTAACTACCTTTAAGGCAGGCCTAATAGCAAAATTAAAATTATAGCTAGTTATATAATAGGTATAATTATATTAATATAAGCTATTTTATATAATAGGTATTAAGGCAATATAGCTATTATATTATTAGTAAAATGGGTTAAAAGGGAAAGTTAAGTTAAATAATATACTTTATAATAAATAAATTAAATATAGTATTCCTTTAAATAGGTTAAAGGAAAAAGGTTAATTTAATTATTAAGATATAACTAATATTAATATTACTTAATTAAGGCAATAATTATATTATTAAGGCAGATAAACCTTATTTAATTCTGACTTTTATAATAATAGCCTGCTATAAGGGTTTTACTATTTAAATTATTAATAAAAAAGCTAAAAAGCTTAATAGCCTTATATAAGGCTAAAGGTAAGGGAAAATTTTTTTTTTATAATAAAAGCTTATAAAAAAAAGAAAGTAAATAAATAACTTAAAATAAAAATAAATAAGTCTTAAACCTTAAATTAAAAAAAACTTAATAAGATATTTTTAATAATTAAAAAAAATATAATTTAATTATTAAAAAATAATAATAAAAAATAAAATATCTTTAAGTTATAATTTCTAAAATAACTAAAATTATTTATAATAATATTAAGAAAGATAATATAAAATTCCTTATTCCTTATTTATATTAATAATATACTAATATTATAGCTAATTTACTTATTTAGTTATATAGCCTATCTTATAACTTATTTAATCCTCTTTTTGCTGCTAATGCCAAATTTATAACTTTAGGTCTTTAACTTCAGGTAATTAAACTTATATAAAACTTAATATATTTCTTCTAAACCCTGCAATTACCCCGCTTCTATCCTAGATATCGCAGTATAATATCCCCCTATCTTTACAGGTTCTCAGTCTTCTCCAGTACCTCCTTAGCCTACTACTAGATATCCTTAAGCTACTTATTATGCAAGCCGCCATTAAGGGCCCTAAGGAACCCCCTCTCCCTCCTGCTTAGCTATATCCCTCTATATAGCTTCCTTTCTAAATCCTTAAGCTTCTACTTCTTATATTTAAGGAAGTCTTTATTAATTAAAAGGTTTTTATAGATAGACTATATAAGTAGAAAGATCTTATAACTAAAGATTACTATCTTAATATAGCTAGTATTATCCTTATTAAACTAGGCCTTTTTAATATCTATAGCTATTATATATAGTATATCGGCCTTACCTTTATTTTGCCTAAAAGCTTCTTTAATCTTAGGGATTATATTATAGCCTTTAGTTAGATAAGGCTTATTAGGCCTGGGTGCCTGCAGGCTTCTTTAGATAGCAGGCATCGTGACGGGGCAGCTGTAATGCTGTTAGCGGTTGCGGCCAGAAGGTATAGGGAAAGTCAGGTCAGATGACTTACTGCGTGATGGATGATTAAAGCGTGGTATGTAGCAGAGGTTGATGAAAGACCTTTTAGGTGGGTTATAGAAAGAAGGTTGGGGCCAGCTGATAAGCAGGTAAGGCTTTTTAGCTGGCATATATGCAGCTAGGTTTAGGCTATAATTAAGGCAGCTAATTATAATAATTTAACTTAATAAAGCTTTACTAGCTATAAGGGCAATAAATATTTAAACTATATTAGATTCTAGAGATATTTAGATATACCTTTTAAGGCTAACTTATAAACTTAAAAAAAAAAAAAATTCCTTATAATAAGAAATACCTTTTAAAAAAGTATTTTTAAAACTATTAATAAAAGTTATTATATTAGCTTAATTATATAATACCTTAATTTTAGCCTAAAAGTAAATTATTATAAGGGCTAATAATAAATAAAAATTAAGTAAGTAAAAAGTTAAGAATAACCTCCTTTACTTTAAAAATAAGCTATATATATTAAAAGACCTTACCTTAAGAAGTAAATTAATTAAGTTATATTAAAATAATAAACTTATAAAATACTTTAAGTTAAAAAGGACCTTTAAGTTATTATAATAAAAGCTATATTAAAAAAGACTTAAGTAAGATATTAAGAAATATATATAAACTTACCTTACTTATTAAAGGATAATATTTAAAAGATATAAACTATATAATAAGCTTAAAAACTTATTAATTTCTTTAAGACCTTTTAAAGAGGTTATTATAGACTTTATTATAAAATTACCTTTAATATATTTTAAAGGCAAAAAGGTTAATATAATCCTAAATATTATTAATAAACTTATAGAAATTATTAAATTCTTTACTATCTTAATTATAATTAATATATCTAAACTTACTAAGCTCTTTTATAATAAAATAAAGCTTATTTTTAAAACGCCTTTAGGTATAATATCTAATAACAGACTAGTTTTTATAAGTTAATTTTAATTAGAAATCTGCTTTTATTTAAAGGTAAAATAAAGGCTATTTATAGCTTTTTACTTATAAATAAATAGCTAAACTAAAAAGATAAACTAAACTCTAAAATACTAGTTATATAGCTTTATTAATAAGAACTAACTTACTTAGTTATAATTATTAAAAATAGTATAATTTATATATAACTTAGCTATAAGTATAATAACTAAAATTACCTTAAACTAAGTATTAATAAGATTTAAACTTAAATTTTACTATATTATTAAAGATAATAATACTTAAAAGGAGGTCTTAAAAGTATAAATAAGAATATATTAAATATATAAGTATTATAAAAAACTATTTTAATATTAAGTAAATATAGCTAAGAAATAAGCTAAGTATTATAACTTTACGTATATCTTTATAATTTATTAATAAGGATAGTTAATTATATTATTTATAAAAAACCTTTAATTTAAAAAAGAATAAAAAACTAATACTTAAATTTATTAATTTATTTAAGATAATATAGAAAATTAGGTATTAAGTATATAGGCTAATACTTCTAAATTAATACTTAAGATTTTATAATATCTTTTATACTAGCCTCTTAAAACCTTATTAAATAAGGGATTAATTAACACTTAAACTATTACTAATACTTAAACTTAAAGAAAATAAAAGCAATTAAAAGGTTAATTATATTAAAAATAAGAAATATATTAATAAAGACCTATATTATCTTATAAAGTAAAAAGACTAGCCTAATAAATATAATTAATAAGTATTAAGTAAGGATATAATAAATATATTTTAAATTATTAATAATTAAGATAAATAAAAATCTAAGGCTAAAAGGAAAAAATTAAAAACTTAAAATATAATTATATTAAGAAAAAGAGGTTACTTAATAAAGAAATATAAAATATAAGAATTAGGCTTAAAGCCTATAAAACTAATTATTATTAAGAAAAATAAATAAAGTTATACCTATAAAGACTATTTATAGATATAAAATTAATTTCTCTTAGAAATACCTAAGACCCTTAATTAAACCTAATAAAATTATTAAGATTAGACTCCTTAATCTTATTATTATCCTCTTTATTAAACTTATTATTACTTTTAAACTTATTAGTCTTATTTAAGAGCTTATTATTTACCTTAATCTCCTCCTTAAAGGCAATTAACTTAATATAAAAAAAGAAATAAAGCTAATATAAAATATATTTAATAAACTTATAAAAGCTATTTATAGCCTTAAAGAATTAAAATTAGGCCTTATAAAAGTAATAATATTTAAGGTAATTTAAGACTTTTAAAATTATAAAAGTAAAGTTATTATAAGCTATTATTTAAGCAAATCTAATAGTCTTATTATTACATAAATATAGCTTTTAAGAAGCTTATTAAGTAATATAAATTTAATTAAGCTATAATATATATTAATAACTAGCTAAATATAAATTATTAAAATAAGGTAGTTTTAAGTTATAATTTAATACTTTTAATTAATATAATACTTATATATTAATAAGGCCTAGCTAATTATCTTCTTTATACTTAAAATCTTATACTTATTAATATAAGCTATAATTATTATAAGATATACCTTATATAACTTTTAAATAGCCTTAGTTAAGATAAAGTAATTCCTTATATTAAAAGTTACTTTATTATTATTATTAATTTAATAAATAATTTAATTAATAAAAATAAATTAAATATAAAAGTTAGTCTAATTATTATTTATTATCTTAAGGTACTTATTAAAATAAAAGTATTAATAAATTAATTAAAATTAAGTAATTTTAAAATAAGGGATTACTTATAGCTTATAGTTTTAGCCTGCTTTATTATAATAATAATATTAACTTAAGCTAGGGTTAAGAAAAATACAAAAGGTATTTTTAAGAAAATAAATATTATTATTAATATTAGGATTATTAAAATATAATTTTAACTTTAAAATAAAGATATAAAAATAAAAGATATAATAATATAAAAAAGTATTAAGAAAATTAAGAAATATCCTAAAATTAAAAGTAATATAAAATAAAAATAAAGTAATTATAATAATTATTATAAGATTAAAATTATAATAATAAGATAATATAAGTAATATAAGTATAGTATAAATATAAAATAACTAAAGGCTTAAGGAATAAAAGGTATATAATAAGAAGAATTATAAATATAAAGGTAAAGCTATAAAGAAACTATAAGGTATAGGTAAAGAAGGCTATAATAAGGAAGAGTTATTAATATAAATAAAGGAAAAAAAAGGAAAGAAATTAAAGGGAAAGAAAGAGATATTTTTTACCTAGGCTAAATTAAAGCTAAGGTAGTAAGTAATAAAGGCTTTAAATTAAAAGGTTAAGAGACTTACTTTTAAGTATATTTAAAAGTATTACTATTTATAAGTTAATAGCTAGGAATAGCTATTTAAAAAAAGGAAAATAATTATTATATAAACCTTACTTCTTATCTTATTAAATATCTTAATAACTAGGCTAACTAGTAATTAGTTAGGTAATAATAACAATTTAGCTATAAATTACCCCCTTTTCTTAAAATTACCTCTTTATTAAGCTTTTTCTTCCTTAAGCTTTAATTAATATAATATTATTAAACCTATTTAACTTTTTTATTTTAAATTATTATAATAAATATTAAAATAATAGCTTATAAGTATTATAATATATTTTAAGTATTAATATTTATATATTTATACTTAACTTATACTTATTATTAATTTTAATTCTTTATTATTTTTATAATTTATTAATATTATTAAATATAAAAGCTATTACTGCCTTTCTTTATCTTAGAATCTCGGCAAGAATACCTATACAGAACAGGATTTTAACTGCTTATAACTGAAAATAAAGACAAATACATAAAAAGACGCCCCTCGTGTCTATCCCGGATTAAATCAGCATAGATGGCATCACGAAGCGGTTTGCTCAACCAATCAGCTTGTCCCCTGTGGCTTAGTTGGCTAAAGCGTCCGACTGTTATTACCTGACAATCGGGAGATCGGAAGTTCGAGCCTTCCCGGGGGAGTTTCTTTTGAAACCTGGTATTGTTTTGTCCTTTGTGGATATCTTTTTGTTGGTCTATGCTAGGAGTGGAGTTTGGCAGAAACACGAGTTGTGACTGAAGCTTCGTTAGATGGCTTGAAAATAAGTATAGAAGACGATATGATTTATTTGTAATTAACACTCTACCTTATATATATGTTCTAGTACCCTACTTGAAAGTTGTGAGTTGAGCTACGAAGCTGGTTGTCGAGTCAAAAGTAATAACCTGATTGGTCGAGACAACCTAGACCCTTAACTCCTCTACAGAATGGCCCGTGCACGACTGGGGCAAGGCATGATGAGAAAGTGAGAAAGTGGAAGGCTGCCACATTTTTTTGGAAGCTTCCACTCATCACAAGCTACTCCCACTTTGAACCCGCCGACCTGTTTCTCTCCCCCCACCAACCAACGACGGAGCGAAACCTAAGCCTGTACATACCTTTATACACGGCTATAATATCTGCTATTCAGACTCGGGTTGATCAATCACCATCAAGATGTCCTTCGGAGGCCAAACGCCGACGATTATCGTCCTCAAGGAAGGTCCGTTTTACCCCACCGCCAGCCCGCTTCACCCCTTGAATTCTAAGGGGGCATCTCCAAAAGAAGACGATATAAACACGACGGAACAGCAACAAACATGATCGCGACAGATAACTAACTACAGCACCTTTTTACAGGAACCGATACTTCCCAGGGCAAGGGACAGATCGTCTCCAATATCAATGCCTGTCTCGCCGTCCAGGCTACCATCAAGTCCACTCTAGGTCCTTACGGCGGTGACCTTTTGATGGTTGATGAGAATGGCCGACAAACTATCACCAACGACGGTGCCACCGTGATGAAGGTCCGAAGCGCTCGATAAAACGTTCAATCACTTCCAGTTCATTGCTAACTGGTCAAAGCTTCTCGATATCGTCCACCCCGCCGCAAGAATTCTCGTCGATATTGCTCGATCGCAAGACGCCGAAGTCGGTGATGGAACCACATCAGTCGTTGTCCTCGCCGGCGAGATCTTGAAAGAGGTTAAGGAGCACGTTGAGCAGGGTGTCAGCTCTCAGATTATCATCAAGGGTCTGAGGAGGGCATCTCAGATGGCTGTCAACAAGATCAAGGAGGTTGCTGTTAGCACCAACGAGGGCAACCGCCGTGATACTCTTATCAAGCTGGCTTCTACTGCCATGACAAGCAAGCTGATCAAGAGAAATACTACATTCTTCACCAAGAGTACGCAAGCACCCCAATATGCATATGCTTGGTCATCAAGCTAACTGATTTTAGTGGTTGTCGATGCTGTCCTGTCCCTTGACCAGGACGACCTCAACGAGAAGCTCATCGGTATCAAGAAGATTCCTGGTGGTTCACTGACCGACTCGCTCTTCGTTAACGGTGTCGCCTTCAAGAAGACCTTTTCCTATGCCGGTTTCGAGCAGCAACCAAAATCTTTCGAGCAGCCTAAGATCGTATGCCTGAACGTCGAGCTGGAGCTCAAGGCCGAGAAGGATAACGCCGAGGTCCGTGTTGAGCAGGTTTCTGAGTACCAGGCAATCGTCGATGCGGAGTGGCAGATTATCTACAAGAAGCTTGAGGCAGTCTACAAGACTGGTGCTAAGGTTGTGCTCAGCAAGCTGCCCATTGGTGACCTGGCCACACAATTCTTCGCTGACCGCGATGTCTTCTGTGCCGGACGTGTGGCTGCTGATGACATGGAGCGTGTTGTCCAGGCTACTGGTGCTGTTGTTCAATCAACATGCTCCGACATTTTGCCCGAGCATCTGGGTACCTGCGGCAAGTTCGAGGAGCGCCAGATCGGTGGTGAGCGTTTTAACTTTTTCGAGGACTGTCCCGAGGCCAAGACTTGCACCCTCGTCCTTCGTGGTGGTGCTGAGCAGTTTATTGCTGAGGTTGAGCGATCCCTGCACGATGCCATCATGATTGTTAAGCGTGCCATCCGAAACCATCTCATTGTCGGTGGCGGTGGTGCTGCTGAGATGGAAGTTTCAGCATACCTTCACCAGTTCGCTGATAAGAACATCTCCACCAAGCAACAAGCTATCATCAAGTCCTTTGCCAAGGCTCTTGAGATTATCCCTCGCCAGCTTTGCGACAACGCTGGTTTCGATGCCACTGATATCCTCAACAAGCTCCGTGTTGCGCACCGAAGGGGTCAGACATGGGCTGGTGTCGATTTCCAGAACGAGGGCGTTACTGACATGATGGAGCAATTTGTCTGGGAGCCCGCCCTTGTCAAGATCAACGCTATCCAGGCTGCTACCGAGGCCAGCTGCCTCATCCTTGGAGTTGACGAGACTATCCGCAACGAGGAGAGTGCTAAGCCTCAGGCTCCTGGTCAGCTACCGCCAGGTGCTGCTCAGCGTGCTCTGCGGGGCCGTGGACGTGGCATGCCCCGGAGGTAAAGGGCGAAAATTATAATGAAAGATGGAGCACGATCAAGGGTTAAAAGGGAAAACTTGGCCTGTCCTGAAAACATAGACTTGAAAAGTGGGAGGAGCAGTATTTGGCCGAGGGGCTGGAGGATCTGTATGATACCTAGACTTATCTGACCTCTGAAACTTGATGACCTCTATCTACTATCTGCCAAGAGCTGGTGAACGTGAACCGCACTGAAAGAACTACGAGCTGTCGAGACCCAGCTGTACGAACTTCTCAGTTTTGTGGTTTTCAAACTTGTGGGAAAATATTGAATCTTAGTATTTGTACGTGAAACGCCAAGCTCATGCTCATCGACAAAGAAACGTAATGATATCCAGGAGTGCCTACTTCATTCTTCAGCATCGCAAGGTCACCTCTAACTACCTCCCTGCCCCTTCAAACCCAACATCATACAAACCCCTTTCCTTATGTACAAGCCCTTGGTTGTCCGCATCAACACCGACATCCACGCCTATACCATCCATAACGACCGTCTCGTCCATCACGTTATCTTCATCTTGATGCACTATCAACATTTCCAAGTCTCTGTCCACAACATCAGGACCCACGTCTTCAGTCGCATTGAGCAATGCTTGAAAGTCAGCAGGCGAGTGATATTGATCAAAGGGGCCAAGGTCATGAGAAGATTCGTTGATTATTTGCGGGTCGATGGGTTGATATACATTGTGATCGTGTGGGTGGTGGCCAGTAGGAGGATCCTGGAGCATGGGGTTGTGTGAGTGAAGTGTATGTTCCATTGAGCTGCTTTGAAGAGTGTGAGGGGGTGCAATTAGGGAGATATCGGCTGGGTTAGCATAAGGACTTGGTGAATGATCGTGATCTGGACTCTGGTGTGAAAGTGTTGGTATCATGTTGTGATCTTGCAGTGGTAACATTGGGGTCGGAGCAGGACTCGTTGGTTGCGCATGGTGGTCACTTATATTTGGCGTTGTACCCCCTAATCTCCTCCCTCCCCCATGGTTATTCGATGAGGCTGCTTTTCTCGCGCCACCAGGGTTAGGTGTCTTGCCTAGCTCTTTGCACTCCACACAACTGCGAATAACGTCGCTGACTGTCTCCTTGATACGGCTCCAGTGGTACTTCTCTGCAATAGTAGCGGTAGTCTTGTTGATACCCCCGTGCTGCTGAACATGAACTTGACGAGCAATATCGAACTGACGAGCAGGATCGGATATAACCTCCTTATCCTTGAGCATGAGCTTGTCTCCGTCGAGAAGCTTATAGTGCGTCGCTGCGCTGCGGAGCCTGCTTTTCTCAGCGCGGTCAGCGCCGTTCGGGTACTCGCCGTACTTGAGGTAGAACTTGATCTTGTCGAAACGCTCTTCACTCACGAGTTCCTCGCTTTCGCGCGGTGACAGATCCCGTCCATAGATAATAGCATCGATCAGCTGGTTGGGGTAGCTGCGAAGGTTTCCACAACCCTTGACTCGGCCGATGCGCTTGAAGCCGAGGGCGTCCCAGATACGGCATGATGCGACGTTGGTCTCGTACACCAGGTTGAAGACGCTATATGTATAACCCAGCTTAGGTGCCCAGTCAAGATACGCCTCACCCATGAGACGACCGACACCACGGTTACGTGAGGCATCCGTGACAAGGAAACCGGCGTTGCACACATGGCTGCTGCGGCCGGGATAGTTAGGCTTGATATAGAAGCTGCCGAGACATTCTCGGGACCAATCCTTGCCTTCTATAACATCCTCAGCACGTTCAACATCTCCAAGGAGCATGATAGCGCCAAAGTTCTGGAACCAGTAGGAACCGAACTTATCGGCGGCGAAGGGATCCATCATGGGATACGTATCGCCGCCTTCAATTTCCTTGTTGATCTGGTCACACAAGTAGGCGATCAACGACTCGGGAACCTGGTGTTTCGAGGAAAACGGAACAATAGTGGCCACGGTCTGGCGATCACGGAGTGTGACCTGCCGAGGGGTCATCTCGGCCGGAAGCCCGGGGTTGTTCGGATCCGGATAGGGAGGCTGACCGGAGACTCGGTGGATAGTGGGGCTCGCCGGATCATCCAGCATGGCCGGCATTTTGTTGGATGAAACCCTTATGCGGGGTTGACGTGTGAAGAAGAAAAGAGAAGAAGCAGAAGAAGGATTTAATTGGAGGACAAGTTTTTATCCCTATTCACCAAATTGTTAGCCTTATAATTCTTGTCACTTACGAATCTATCCTCGCAGTCTCAGGGTGATGTCGTCTTAGACCAAACAAACACCAACAAGACTGAAAGTGCAGAATGAGAGAAAAGTATAAAATGGTGCATACCAATTCAAGTGTCAGGAAAGGCCGAGACAGTTTAATAAGAACAGCTCGGCTCAAAAGCTAAACTATTATGGGAGACTCCTTGGTTGTGGAGTGCTCTCTCAATCCCGATTTCGCACCGAAGTCTCTATCAAGATCTCTCGAATTCTAGGCGTACCGTATTAAAATCCACTACTGTAGGTGTGCTGTGGCCTGTAAAACTGCCTGCTGTGTTTCAATGCACTGTTGGGTGTGTGGTGGCCTTGATCCCTTGGCTGAAAAGGGCGCGCCCTGCACAGTCTGGGACCTCCACTGGGAACTACCTAATTAACAGTAACTGAAGACGCTGTAAGGCTCAGTAATAGCCCCAGTATATTCAGTGCTCCGCTCTGCAACAAGGTGCAGCGCAGCGCAATGCTTGTTTTTTTTTTTTTTTTGCAGTGCTGTGATGTGATGTTCGTTGTGACTGTGCTGAAATGTTCGTTGGTGATGAGGGGAAATGCGCAGGCTTCGGAGAGACCCCCAAAATTTCATGGAGGCGGGGAGTGCACCTGGAGGAAACGGAAGCCACTGAGAATCTAAGCCCACGTTAAACTTTTTTTAATAAATAAATAAAAAGCCGGGGTCAATTGTTTATCCGTAGTTATCGCCGTGATCGGCCTTGATATAATGCAAATGATAACAATTTGATAGTTTACCAACTGATACATAACAATACATTTTTATATATTCATTCCAACTTACATCGCTTTCATACTCTATCCCTCCTCAAGGCTATTATACATCTCAATTTTGTACACAGCTTTTCTACTGCTTACCGCTCTTGATATCGGCCTCGATCGCCTCCGCCGCATTTTTGAGTCCTGACAACTGATCCTCAATGCTCGCTAGCCTAGAGTCCTGTGTTGACTCAGATGGCTTGATCTCAGACTGAACATCAGCTACTACATTTGATGCAGCGGGTTGCTCGGGAGACGAAGTAGCTGCTTCGGATGCAATAGGCTGTTCTGGTGATGAGGTGATAGACTCAGCCTGAGCATCAACCATGACCTCAGGGGCAGAAGTCTGCTCAGCTGCTGCTTCGGAAGCAGCAGCCTGCACAGGAGACTCAGGCCCGGAGCTAGCGGGCTCCTCAGGCAATGTAGAAAGCGTCTCGGCGGCAACCTCCTTTGCAGCTCCCAGAGCAGCCTCTCCCATCATGTCCATCATCTCGCTCTCAGTAACCTCAAGCTCGTCTCCGTAGAGTCCCTCCCGTAAAATCTTCTGCTCCTCCTCGTTGAACCCCTCAAGGTTGTGTTGCATCTGTCCCATGACGTTCTTGCGCTCAGCAAGAGCAGCCTTCTTCTCGCGACTCATGTGCTGTACAATATCAGGAGAATTTTTCCATGTCGCCATGTTCTTCTTCTTAGCATCGGCCATACGTCGCTGTTGACCTCGTTGACCAGCTCGGCCTAGGACTCCACCAACAACAGCCATAGCCCGCAGACTACCCATGCATTAGTAAAGGAAATGATTGATGCTTATAGAAGATCTTACCTGTCGTCGTTAGCAGGAATGGTATAGGTGACCCATGATGGGTCCACGTTGGTATCAATAACGCCAATTGTAGGAATGCTCTTGAGACCGCACTCATAAAGAAGAGTATAGTTCTCAAGGGGATTCAGGCAAACAACTAGATCAGGCATCAGCGGTCGAGCCGAACCTCTGTAGGACTCAAAACCGGGGAGTTCCTGGTCCTTGTGGTCCACAACCTTTGTACCAGCCATCTTCAGAATAACATCTCGATTGGTGATGGCTCCAGGGGTCCACTTGGTAAACAAATGACAAGCACCGGCCATCTCGGCAGCCTGAGTGACAATTTCCATCTGACCCTTACGGTTTCCAACGAAGAGAATCAGGCCAGCCTTGTATGCTACCTCCTCCACCACACGAGCCGCACGTCGCAGGTGTGCTGCGGTCGTTTCCAGAGATATAATATGAACACCTTGTCGCACACCGTAGATATATCGAGAGTTCGCGGGGTTCCAGAGCGAAGTCTTGTGTCCAATATGTGTTTGTGAAGCCATCAACATCTCTAGAGTGATATCCTCAGGTCCAGGTGGGTTGTTGACAAGCTCAGTGGGAACATATCGCTTCTCCAGTTTTGAACCAAGACTTCGTGTGTTGGCCTGAATTCTTTGCCATTCTCTATACTGCTGAGCAGGTGTCGCAGGTACCGCCGAGTTTGAGTTGGAGTGAGGTGTTGTCCAAGCAGCACCCCTGTGCTCGTGCGCCGAGTTGGTCCTGAGAGAAAGAATACCGTCCTGTACAATTCGCTGCTTCTTTCGTGCCGCTGAGACAATCTTTGGAGGAGCGACAGCGGCCTGAGTTGTCTTCCACTCTTCGGTTGTGGTCTCAGTCTTGGTGGTAACCTGAGTGGACATTTGTCGGGCGAGAGACCTGGAGATGGGAGACGCCAATGTGTGGCGGCCTGAACATGTCAGCTGAAGATTGAATTAGTTAGAGCTCAATTGACTCACAATGCCGCACGGGGGCGTTCCTCAGGATCATGGCGACGACTTGGAGACTGCTCGATTATCGTGGTGGTCGTTCGGTAGTAGCCAAAATTTGGCTATGGCCGATGAAGCGGGTGGAGGGATTTTCCGGACCGACTAATATCCTCCTGTTGCAACTTATGAAGACTTTTGCAAACAACAACCCTGAAACTAATGATGAGATACATTTTACTGACAAAGAAAACTTATTGGCATTGAATTAGTCTTGCAAGGGTAATCTCTACTATAAAAAAACTACTGTCTCTTTCTGAATATCTACACTAAACAGCCACACCCCTCCCCGCCCCCATCTTCATCATGTCATTACGAAGAACAGCAAATAATGCCTTTACCGACTGGTGAGTCTGGCAATGGTAAAGACACCAATGATAGTGACGGCCAATGTGACAATTGCGCCCGGGAGTAAGAGCTCGTTTGGTACGCCAGCAATAAGCTGCTCGGGGCCTTGTGCGTGTGTATGTGCCGCACGGCCCTTTCGTCTCCGCACTGGTTCATCCTCGTCGTCCTCATCTTCTGAATCATCATCATCTTCCTCTTCAGGCCACCACTTACGGCGCTCTCGTAGACCAGCCCCGGTTGAGACTGATGGTGTAGCAGGGGCCCCAGATACAGGTGGCTTCTCAGGATCATGGACAAATAGATCGACCTTGTCATGATGAGCTTGACGAGCAAGAATAACAGCCTCGAGAAGGTCATGGTCGGCTGTGATAGAAATAGAGTCTCCTTCATCATCCAAAAAGCTCATTGCAAAACCTGGGCCGACAATCTTGCCGTCAGACACAGGAGGCACTCCACCAATGCTGTCTGCCTCAGCACCAAGCTTGGAGGCAACAGCGTTGACGAAGACTTCAATGCCTTCTGTAGCAGTGGCCTTGAGACGGTGCACTCGGCCAGATGGAGCCTTGAATTTGAAAGGGAAAGGAAGCTCTTCGGGTAGTTGATGTTCAAGAACATCAGGAAGAACAGAGCGTGGAGGTGACTCCATGCCAACATGAGACGCTGAGTCGCCAGGAGCGAGACTATCGTTGATACCTCGGTGCATATCAGGCGAGGTAAGGCGAGAACCCAGATTGGTGTGCTGTGCGGCACTGCCCTCTCCAGACATCATGGATTCTGTCTCAGCATCGAGCGACAGCCAGAACTTGTTCCACGCAGGACCCTCATCATTGGTGTTTGACATGGCGTTGATTTGGTCGAGTGTAGCATATGTTAGCTTGAGAACATCGACCATGCCGACGATCTCACCGCCATCGTTCATGACAGGGAGGTTCAGGTAGTGACCATCTGAAAACATATTAGCGGCATCTTACTAAATTTTCTTAAACAACTCACCGTGCATCTTGCGGAGAGCGGCCTGGAGGGTCATGTCCATGGGTGCAAAGTCGGGGTGAGGGGTCATGACACGCACAACACTGCAGTTGGCGGGGTCAAGACCAGGTGCAATAACTCGAAGAACGACATCCTTGCTGGTGAAAATACCCGTAATAGCTCCTTGATCCTGAACAAGGACAGCGGTTGTACGGTTCTCCTTCATAAGCTGAGCAGCCTCCTTGACCGAAGTTCGCACGCTCACGGTGGTGGGGGGCACACCGTTGAGCACGGTCTCCAAAGTAGGCCCAGACATCTTGCTGCGCAGAGCTTCGACATATTGGATGATCTGCTGGGGTTGCGTCGAGCCCAGTTCAGACTGGACACCTTCAAGCGCATCGTACAGCTTTCTGGAGGACGAGTAGGCACGCTCTAGCTTCTCCATAGCATCGTAGAAGCACTTGGTAATATCCAACACACCCGAAATATCCTGGTTCTCGTCCATAACTGGCAAATGTCGGAAACCCTTTCGGACCATGAGATCCAGGGCATCGGTAGCGCTGGTATCGGTTCGAGCGCAAAGAGGGTTTTTGGTCATAATCTCAGCAATAGTAATAGCAGAAGCTTTTGCTCCAGCTCCCACAACCCGGAACGCAAGATCCTTAGCGGTGAAAATACCAGCAATTCGATCGTCATCGTCAGTAACCAGAACACAATCCTCACGTTTTGCGGCCATCAGTTGGGCAGCCTCGGAGACGGTGGTGCCAGGCTTGATCTGTAGAGCCTGACTGGGCTTCAATGCGAGGACAGTTCCAGGAGGAGCCTTTCGTGAATGGCGAGCCCGGCTGGTAAGGTGCTTCTTCTTGGAGAGGTCATTTTCGAGCTTCTTTCGGATGGCCTGATGTGAAGGTTAGCAACCTTACATATTGTAATTCGAAGCCTTTCGAGGTATATATCGCAGTCGAGGGCAGCCGTAAGGGTATATCATGACGAACCTCATCACGCTTGCTCTGCTTCTGACGACTCGCGCTGACCGCAGATCCAGTCTCAGTAGGCGGTGAGGGTTCGAGGACAGGACGAGGAATGCTTGAACCACCGCTGGGACTGTTGGTGAAAGGCACCGCACCACGGCCCTGGTTGCGAGTGGGCGTTCCTCTATAAGTGTTTCCCGACATGATAGCGGTAGATGGAACGAAGACGAGACGAGGAGTCGGTCCGGCTTGTCGTCACAGCCAAAGGCAGAATACGTACGATTGCTGGCGTTATCTGTTTCGTTGTATGCAAAAGAGGGTCGCCGGCAAGGTAAATGCAATAGAAAAAGGTGAGTCTATGCCCCGGATGGAGGAAACCTAGGAAAATCAAGAATCAGCCAATCGCAGCGGGCGAGATATTCTGCAGGCTGGAGGAAATCGGGTGATTTTGTTCGAGGTGAGTGACTCTCCAAGCTCCCAGGATGTTGGTACTGGTTGGTACCTCCCGTCTCTTGGTCTGACCCCTGTGCTTTTGGGGTTGTTGTGGTAACTCTTAGTGGTTGTTGACTCAGGAGCGCTTAACATCCAATCAGATGTTGATTGAAACCGTTTCACCGACTTGATCCGACAACGTTTTTAGCAAAAGGAACCTCTTCGACATGATCGAGGGTCAAACCGAAAAGGAAAAGAACCATTTCAAGTGGAATACTACTCTATATGCATGCTCTTCCCAGTAATGACCCGCATCTGATCGTATCTGACTTACATATAGTTCGTCAGAAGGATCCATTATGTCCAGCCAGCACATCATGGGCCCGTGCAATATATTATGTGTCGATTTTTATTCCATGCTCACCCACGAACTAGGAGCCTTATTGGACATGTTAAGACCATATGAACATTCTGTTTCCGTACAAGCAAATTGCTTCCTCAACTCTTAGGCAGTTCCCAGAGACCATACATGTCAAAACCCATCCTTCGCTGACCCTATGTGTCCGACCATAGAGTCGTAGTCCCACATCTCAAGTCTCCTTCCCGAATTCATTTCCTTCACTCCAAGCCACGGAGTCGACGGCCAATGGTCGACGCTACTGAAGTGTCCTTCTTCTTGGGAAATTTCTTGTACATCATGCCGAGGAAACTCGCCATGTTCTCCGAACCTCCAATGTAGTCGAGCGTATCCTCGATGGTTCTCTTCCGCTCAACATCGAGGTTGCCTTTCACAGCCCGCTCCAGTAATTCTGTAACGACGACAGCCATTTCCATGCCGCCAACACAAGTGTTGCCGAAATCATCTGCAATGGGCACACGACTACCACTCATGCCTCGGAGAGTCACTGGCTTGACGGAGTCACACAGTTGGAGAGTCGAGAACCGAACGAGGGATGTTTCCTCAGCCACGTCAAGCTCTTGGGCGGTCTCAGTAGTAACGAAGATTGACTGGTCGTCCGTGTCGGTGCTGGACAGTGTTTGCTGGCTGGACAGAGCCTGCTCCTCAGCGTCTGCTTCGATGAGGATCATGCGAGGGCCAGGGTATGTCTGAATGCATTGGAGCGGAAAGTATACGCCCGCCCATGGCGCAGTATTACCAGACTCCTGATTGTAGCCTTGGTTCCGAGCTAGAGATCGGCAGAATTCTAGATTCTTGCAGTTCATGAGGTTCTCACGTTCATCTTGGGTGAGATCGAAAGCATCCTCGTTGCCATACAGCTGTAGCGCGCGCAGATATCCAGTGTAGGGGACAGTTTGCACGACGAGGGGACCTTTGAGGCGTTGGTGAAATGAGGTTTCATAGATGTGGTCACGCTGGCGCTCTATGGTTTCACATTTATCGAACACAATGACGCAGGAGTTCTTGGTCGTTGTGTCTGAGTCCGCGGTCATGGTTGAGTGAATGTGAAGTGATCGAGTGAAGAAATGGTTGTGCTTTTGTTTGTTGATGAAGGGTTAAGAAGAAGATGCGAGATGGGAATGTTTGCAAGAAAGAAGTTGGGAAAGGACAGAGAGACGAAGTTCCGAAGGAAGCCACATCGATGGTTAACTTGGCAGAGTAGGTACCCAATCTCGCACTGGCAGCTATTGCCAACTGCCAACTGCCAACTGCCAAAGGGCCTGCTCGCGCCTGCCCAAGTTTGCGAACGCACACGCGCCTGCCCGGTCTAGGAGAGTGATTTCCTACAGTACCACAGCACGCTTCTATTAAGGAAGGTACAATCTTCACCACCCGATTGCTTTCAGGTCAAATAGCCTTGCGGTATATATAGGGCCCAGCAGGCCTTTATTACTACCCCATTCGTGAGATCGTTAGGAATACATAACAATAGGTAGGGGACTTGATGTAATATTGATATTCTATAGTCGTCTAAAAAGAATGATTAATTCAGATACCGATAGGTGAATAACTTGCTATCTTGGTTGGCATTAAGTGCGTGCTTGTCCAAAAGATTGAAAGAGTCTATTTCAATACATTGGCGCCGGCCGGTCTCCGCTGACGGAAGTGGTGATGACCAGCGCCGGCTGTGTGGGGCCGACTATATCGGCGACCCACGGCGTTGACCTGGAGTGACTTGAGTTAAATGAGGAGTCTTATGAGTACGATTCTTTCATCTTTATCATCTTCGCTTTAAGAGTATATCCCCCTGCGGAAAGTGAGGCCTTCGATTACCGCATGCATTCAATTTCGATGTGTAGGAATTACCATTTGTGTTAAATGTCCAACTAACCTTGATTACTGACTGTAGAATGCCGGAGTCGAAACAAAGGAAGGGTCCGAAGTGCGAATCACGATGCATCTTTCATTCACATGATAACAGTTTCCTGGAGAATTTTATGAGCAAAAACTATCTTTTCATGATTTCTGACGTGTGTTTTGTTCATTCATCGGTATTGGGATTACTTTGTTGTTTAGAGCTCCCGGTTATTAGCTGATGCACATGGTGTCGAACCCAATTGAAAACGTCATCTCTGGTGGCAAAAATACTCATATTGGAAAGCTTATTAAGGTTCACCGGTGTTTGCCTCCGCGGCGGGAGAGTTTTGTTTACAATGACGACTGAACGAAGAAGCGACTGCAAATTTTGACAAACGCAGGACTTGTCTCAGAAAATCAAGGACTGCCTCTGGATGGACCACGGATTCAATCGATTCGTGGTGAAGTTTCTAGAGCGTATGTGTTGTATCAAGGAGCGACAAGATCTAGGTCAGTGATAAGGAATGGTCAGATTCCAAGGTAATGCCTTGTGCTGAAGAACGCCTCCCGTTGGAAGCGAGGAAACCTTACAGCTGAATGTACAGTAATGGACCGGGGAACCTAGGCAACGACCTTCAATAAGTTCAATTCAATGTGGTGATGGTGACACAGGATATCGCCATCCATTGTTTGGATGGAATGCATTTGCAAGTTGGAGGCCTTTGGGCGTTTCTACGTCCAATGGCGCGGAAATCTTCGGTATGGACGATGACCTAGGCTTTGTCTTTTTCAGGTTGTTTGAGACAACCTCACTTTTTTGTGATCGTGTTGACCCTGAAACGAGACGTCATCTGCGTCAGCTGCAGGGATTGTCGTTTATAGCTGCCATTGACCGAGACATGTGCAGGAATCCTAAGTTGTTATGGTAGCAACGGGGAATAGGGTAATGATGCTATTCCCGTGCGACACCTTGAATTACTTGAGCTACTGTGGCTGTAGTTCCTGAAGCGTGAAGTAGTTATCAATGTTTTATTATTGGGAATTGGCTCGTGAGAATGCATGTTATCTAGCTGAAAAGATAATGAGATCACTTTAAGTGTGGTCAGTGGTCAATCCTACACTAGAATCTTATCATGATCAGGAAGTGGGATGTATACCGAGAACAAACATGGTTCTATGGTGTAATGGACCATCGGTCGCCAGGTCACGTCTCAGAAGTTGGCTGCCACTCTCTTTTAGTAGCTCCAGCCGCCAAGGTGTGCCAGGGTAACCGGCTGAGCATGGGTGAAGCTGGATTTAGTGGTTTGATTCTGGTTGCCCCTGGTGATTGTTTACTTTTAGCTCGATCTCACTATCAACCCCAAAGATCCAAGTTATCCACACTGCTGCTCTTGTTGCATCTAGCACCAAAGCTACTCCATACACTCATCCATACATACAGAACAAGATCAATCAGAGCTTGTACATCAATTGCATCTATCTCACCTCTCGGGAGAGCTCAAACACACAAAAGAGCACTTCCACAAACCGATATCATTGCCTTAGAGGCATAACCATACTTGAACTTATATCGCAAAGTCGACCTCGACTGAGAACGACAACAACTTTCCACTAGCCCGGCGCTCTGTGCTTGCGCTGCGTGAGGTAAGAAACAGGAAGTGCAGTGAAGAATTAGAGAAGCTGACTCAACATATCAACAGTTTCGGACCCATAGGTTCCCATCGACAATATATCGACCGACGACAATTCCCTTCCGGACTCCCCTTGCGACATTATGCTGTCCAATCCAACAGGACTTCACGCCCGACAAAAGCAGCATCGGCGTCAAAATTCGACACCGACTGCTTTCGAGGGCGCCAAGATCCCTAATCTGCCAACTACACAACGACAAACCGCACACCGACGCGGCCTCAGCCTGGATGTTCGACGACAACAGAACCAGAGCATCAACTCAGCAGCAACAAGGCAGAACTACATGGTAAGTACGAATACTAACAACACAGGATTAGCCAATATTTCTACGCAGCAAGTTCTGCGAGAAGCGCAGCAGCAACGCATTCAAGCACGCCCGGGCACACAGAACCCTTACGCCAACCTGGCCCCAAGTGGAAGTGAGAACTATCTCATGTCACCTCATGGAACTCCTCAGACACAACGATTTGACCCGTCCTGCTTTGACCCCAACTCACTTCCCTTTGACCCTTACACTACTGATCTTAACGTGATGATGGGTAAGGGCCAACAGGCTGCATACGGTGACAATATGTCGGGAGGTAAGGAATTTGATATCTTTAACAATGACAGTGCACTCTCAACTCCGACGTTCATCAACTTTCCTTCTGAGGGTTCCTCCGCTCAGGGCTGGTCCTCTGAAGGTGACACCTCCAGTACAAGGAGAACCTCAAGAAGGATAAGTGGTGGCATTCTAGACCGCGTTAACAAGTTTGAGACCTTGGACTCAACGACAAGACCCGCTACGCCCCCTAACCAGAACCAAAGTCAGAACCAAAACCAGAACACACAAAGTCAGTCGCTCAGCTGGACAATGACAATGCCTGAGACGGCTAACCTTGAGCAAGGTTACTTCCCCCCTACGCCAATTGAGACTCCCCACGACCGATTGGTAAAGGATGAGGCCGTTCCAAGTCGGTTCGCCGATGGCTATGATGAGTCCATGGAAGAGACTATCAAGCCCGTGAGGAACCGAGGAGGCAACCGAAGGGCTCAGACCATCTTCCAAGATATCAGACAACAGTCTGAGCAAGTCATGTCAAGCCCAGCTCGGTCAAATACTCTTCCTGAGTCATCCTTCAATGGACTGCCAATGTCGACACCTGACTACATGAACATGAACAGCTTCAACAACGAGTTTATGAAGATCGAGAGCGACTTTGGCCGGGAAGAAATCCACGGTCTCAACCACCAACTACCACAACAAGCCACTCCCAACACTCCTCAAATGACCCAATACATGGGTTCTTTTGACAACAAGCCAGATCTCCAACCTTATCCCATGGGTGCTCAATCTATCTCCGGTACCCCCTCTCAGACACCTTCTCGTCGTCACTCTCCCCATCGCCGCACTGAGTCAGTCGCTAGCATCGCAAGTGCTGCCAGTATCGCCAGCATCAATATTGAGGAGACCAAGACAGAGACCGGAGTCACTCAGGATGAGATCGCCCAGTTCATTAGTGGCCCTGACGCCGGCGACGGCAAGTGGACATGTACATATGAAGACTGCGGCAAGAAATTCGGCCGCAAGGAGAACATCAAGTCGCATGTTCAGACTCATCTCAATGACCGACAATATCAGTGTCCCACTTGCAAGAAGTGCTTTGTTCGACAGCACGATCTCAAGCGACACGCCAAGATCCACACTGGAATCAAACCATACCCTTGCGAATGTGGAAACAGCTTTGCTCGCCACGATGCTCTTACTCGACACCGCCAACGGGGCATGTGCATTGGTGCTTTCGATAACGTCGTGCGCAAGGTTGTCAAGCGAGGCAGACCCCCCAAGAAGAGCCGCCCTGATATCGAGACTCGCATGGAGAAGTCAGCGCGAACCCGCAAGAAGAACATGTCTGTTAGCTCAATGTCATCATTCTCTGCTTGTTCTGACAGCTCAGCTGTCAACTCACCAGAACAGTTTATGCTTGATGACATGATGGACATTGGAATGAGTTCACAGAACCAGGCCCTCGCCGCCGTGTCTTCAGCACCCATGACTGGCATCACAGCCGCAGCTCTTCAAGAATACGCCTCTTCTCCCTCTACTGGCAGCGTACACTCATACGTCTCCCCCGAGGCCATCATGGAGGGCACTCCTATGCACGCTGCATCTCCTTCGAAGAGCATCGCAAGCCAGTACAACACACCACCTGAGCTCTCGCAATCATCTTCTCCCCCAGCCACTCACTTCTTTGACGTCGACCCCAACACTTCAATCAACAACGACGATCTGACCATCATTCCCGGGACAACAACTTTCGTCACCTCGGCAACCATGGCTGCTTCTCTTCCCCTTGGCCTAAGCAATGCAGACGATGAGATGCTGTATCACTTCGCCAACGACGACGATCTTATCCAACTGGATCGCGATTCCAACATGCTCATGAACAAGTTTGACGAAGATTTCGACAGCGTCGGCATGTTCACTAACAGCAATGATGACGTCTTCTTTGGCAGCAACTAG